CTGCTCATGTTATTTTCTTGAGGAGCGGGATATGAGAGTTGGAGGGAGCTGAGGGGAAATGCTGAACATTGTATCTACAGCTTAACAGGTGTAACAAATTCTAGGAGGAAGTCATTTGCTGTTGCTGCCGCCTTTGCCGTCGTGGCTTTTAGTATAATAGAAAAATGAGAAGTTGCTCAACAGGGACCGCATACAGAATGCATGTGTTTGAAACATACAGTGAACAAAGGAGAGAAGGATGAAAGGAAAAAAAAAGGTGGGCGATGGCTGCATGCTGTCTACTACGCTGGTTATCCCTCTGTGGTTTCTCCTTAAAAAGTCACTGAACCGAAAAGAAATTCCCTGCAGAGCCTTTAAACGAACATCTTCCTGTGGAGGAGAGTGTACATTAGTCCTAATACGTCTTTTAAATCAAGCACGTATCACTAAGAATGAGTGTTTCCATTTTGACAAAAAAAAAAAAGCCTCCGTTTCACTTAATGGGATCATCAAAGCTCCGAGGATAAAAATGACAGGTGCGTTCAGAACAGCTCGCTTTGAAATGAAATTAAAAATTTATATATATTAAAAAAAAAAGATCACACGCTTTTACTGTAAGTCTCAACATGCACACCCCTCGCATCAGGACCTCTTTTTCAACATTAAAGCCAGAAAACATGCCAACATGTTTAAGAACTACGGCGAGAGGATCCGGGCTGATGGGGGCACAATTGTGATAAATGATGGCCTTTCCTTATTCTGTGAGACAACAAGCGTGCCTCCAAAATGTGGTGGGGGGCTCCTTCCATCCGCTTCAGATCAGCATGAGGGGGAAAACATGAAAACACACAACTTCCTGTGACTTCTGAAGGAGAGATGATTGATTTTTAAACACCAGAGACTTTACAAGAGAGAGAGTTATTTGTCTTGAAGGCCTGCTGGCTTTGAAGAATCTCGACCGAGTTCTGTTTTTCCTCCGTGTGTGCCAATAACGCTTAATAGCCAATGAACTGTCAACAGCAGGCGAGTATGAAACACTTTTATTAGTTTGCACTCTGTTCTAGAGGTGCTGCTGACAACAGCTGTGGGGGGAAAAGAAACACAGAACAAACATCAGATGTGTCCAAGCTTCACATCCAACAGGTAACATTTTCACCTCTCGCATCTCCACTGGGAAACAAGGCACTTGATTGTTACTGTACATCCTATACACGTGGTACTTTTGACCTTAAATCCTGCGATGCCCAACATTTTGATAAATCTTCTAGATGAAAGTCTCCGTGTGCAGTAAAAATGAAATGAAAATGTTTCATCTTTGGGGGGGGGAAGAGATCAGAGGCTTGGACATGCAGCTGAACAGATTTGCCCATCTTTTAGAAAAAGGACAGACAGATTTTCAGATAAGCACAGATAACATTAAACATAAAAGAAAAAAGAATCGTAAAGGGATTACTTACATTTCTGTTTAATCTTCGTTAACAATATAGCAAAACCGACCTGATTGTCTAGTTTGTGTTAATAGAGACAGATCATGGTTTTAAATCCTTCTTTTTTACATTTAAATCATTCAGTCGGGATCTATTTAAAGTGGAACTGCAATGCTTTGGTTTGAATTCCTCCTCATTGTAACTCCACAAACCCCTCTTTCACCCTTTTTCTCAGGTGTCTCAGATCAACTTGTTTTAACGCTGCCTCTTTAAATTAAAAAAAGCTTCATGCCCCGCCCCCTTTCAGCGCCGTCCATTCTAGTTTAACAGAGAGTTTTATGACTATATAAGCTGCGTTTCCATTGACCATGAAAATGCGCAAATTAGAATTTTGAAAATAAATTTGCGCAATGGATACACGTCAGTTTTGAAAAAACGTGTTTTTGACAAAATGGTTTTGCGCTAGGATGAGGTGGTTTTTCGGCTGTATCAAAATTGGTGTATTTTGCAAAACTGCGATGGAAACACTTTTTTTGCATCACGGGAGTCACGTGATCAACAACTGGCTGTTTCTACTGGCAAAGAAGATGACGAAGAAGAAGATAACAGGAAGTAGAAGTAGTAGTAAAATCATCGAAGTTGTAAATGAAAGTAGTAAACTCACCGACTACAATTTCCCAAAAACGCAGCATACGTAGCCGCTCCCAAATATAATGGGCTTGTTGCTGGAAAGCCTAGATAGGACGCTGATGTCTCCTCTGATGATGAGCGCTAGTGTCGTGGTAGCAATTATGCATGTGTTTACATCCATTGCCGCCATGTTTGTAATGACTTACCGCAAGAACAAACATATTCACGCGTGACTTTAATAGCATTTCTTACTTAATGGAAACACCGCAGTTGTGAAACTGTATTATTTTACATTAACAGAATATCGACAAAGTTTTGTGCACATTTGCAATGGAAATGCAGCTATAGTGGCACAGAATCCTTTTGTTTACTAATTAAAAGATGTTGACAACAGAAGACTCCTAGAGACTCAAGTACACAACAAAATTAATTTAATGGCTAAAAGATGGATTTTGCATGAAATGTCCTCTTTAAAGTAGCATTTAAATGGTAAAGAAATGCTTGTTGAGCCCTACCAGAGAAAGATTGCATCATTTCTGTATTAATCATTGTTGACATCTTGATTTATGCACATGGTGGTTTAAAGGTACAGACGTGATCTAGGACATGATCAACAAAAGGTAACACGCTAAAAGTAATTTTAGGTTATTGGTGTTCAAATTTAGCATTTACATCTCAAAACCGTTTTCGCCCAAGCAATATTACGCAGTAATTCCCGATAATCCTGATCCATATTTTCTGCCAGACAAGAGGAACAAAGAAGTGACAATGACATTGTTCCTTTTGGATGGAGTGATAACCACAATGGGATTGTTATAAGCCTATTAAATGGACATTGTCACCTGTTATCACTTCCATAGCAACAGCCAGGAGGTGCTCTTCTTTATCTCCTGTGAGGCTCAGTCGGGCATCATTATTCTTTCTGTTCAGTGAGAAACAGAAAGCAGCCAAGATGGTTCAGACATCTTCCCCTGGTTGTTGTTTTTTTAGTGCATATATTTTAGCTGTTACCTCAAGAAGGGTTTTATTCTAAAAAGGCGCTGAACCAAAAATCTAACAACTGAATATGCCAAGTCAAGCAGGATGCACACGCACAAAGCTTCAGAGCAAAGCTGGATCTTAATTTAACCTTTTTTTCGAACCACTTTCTGAAGACGTAGCATTTTCATCGAGCGACCTTCGTAAGAGCATGGTAGAAATGAAGTCTTTTATAGATTTTTTTTTCAAAGCCAATCACCTGCCAATTCCCATGTTTAAATGACTTGACCTTTCTTTCGTGCTCTGATAAAGGTCACTGTGTTCGACTGTTGGCATATCGGTCGACATGACCAGGACAAATTGGTCAAATTGAGACCAGTCTTCCATCTTTTGAAGAAGTGTTGTTTTTTTAACCCAAAGCACTAAAACATAGCCAGGGCTGAGCGCTTTTTTTTCTGTCTTCAAGCTCTGATGCATGGACTTAAGCATCAAATAATTGTTTTTTTTCTTAGTTTTCTGTTAAATCCAGGACAGAACAATGAGATGAAAAGTTGAATTAGCACCAGAACCATTCACGTTTGTTCCTAAACCTCCTGCTGTTTGTGACATGAATGATGGTCAGTACACTGGACAATAACTGTTTTCAACTAAACTTATAATTTTTGTTTGCAACTCTGTTCATAAACAGAGTCTGACATAAACTTGATATAGCATTGTGTGACTGTGCCAGTATTTAAAAATGGCAGCCTTTCTTTTGTGCTCATGAAAAGCAAAACTGTCCTGGGCCGTGCATATTATTTCTTTGTAACTTTGCCCATCTAATACATTAATTTAGATGGGCAATGATATATCATTGTATCGATTGCAGACTTGTGAATTTAATAGAAATCGTATCATGACATGCTTTGTGATAGAGAAACATTGTATCGTCATCCAAACAATTTTATATAATGAATCGGGAAAAAGCTGGTGATTTACACCCCCTACCTAGCAGATAGATATAGATACCGGCAACAAAACAAAGATTATAGGTTTGAGGCACTGTGACTATTTTGATGTAAAAAGTGTTGCACATATTTTTTAACCTGTTCCGTAATTAAACAACAAGACTGTGAGCCTCTGCAGGTGGAGCAATGAAAACTTGTGAATGTCTTGAGACATTTTGAAAACTTACTCGCAAATGTTGTTCACCAACTAGTCTCCGACAGTCATGCCCTTAACCTCACTAAACAATGAATGAAAACAGCTCAAAATTAACTTAAAGCAGAAAAATAAATAAAAACATAACCACTGATCTTCAAATAATAGCCTCTCTCCTCTGAATGAAACTGTAAGAGTAAACCAGGCAGCAACAGAGAATTTGTCCCTGCAGTGCTCCTTCTTGTTGATTTTGTTGTTTTATTTACAGAGATTATTATCCTCCAGGAGGATTGAAAGGAGAGCAACTCCTGGAAGTATTTATATGAGGAATAACAGATGATAATGTCCATTTAATGAGCCAGTAACAAACTGGTGGTGAAGGGGGACCAACTGTAGGATCGCAGGTGCATCTGGAGGCTGATGAGGTTCACGAAAACAATAAGAGGAGGAAAATATTTCTGCTGTGCAGTTCATTACTCTTCCCGTTTCCTAAAATTTATCAGTTTTTCTTAATAAATCTTGTATAATTAAACTTGTTCAGATATTTAAAAAAGTATCATCACTTGGATTGTTGGAATATAATTGATCTTTTTTTCATAACTAATAAATTTTGGATAATTAAATTTTTTCGACACTTGGAAAAAGGAGCATCACTTGTATTGATGAGGTGATTTAAAGACTCCTAATTAAAACATTGACCCACCGTGCTGAGGGTGAATTTTCCTGGCATAGCATTTCATTTTTTGGCTTTAAAAGTAAAAAGAAAAATAAATGAATAAATAAAATGAAATGAACCATTGCTCCTCAGTATTAAAGCTCCCATGCGAAGTGGTAGAAAATGCTCACTGAAAGGTCACATCTATATTTTTGGGATGTAATAATGAGATGGAGGAAAAGCTTTGATTCTTTTTCTTTTCACAGAATCACACAAATTAAACTTGGATATTTTTAGAAGGGAAACAGAATTAAAAGTAAAAGATAAAAACATCATTAAAACATTTCCAACAGCAAAATGTAGAGTTAAACAAACGTGTGAGAAGTAAGGCATTCAAGCCTCCATTTCACAACACTGAACACTGCTAGACTAGAGCGTCTCTCTCTCTACAAGACTGTCTGGCAGTTGTACTCACAGTGTTGACTTTTTAAAAAGCACTCACAAATCAGAACAATGCATTTCGAGTTTTTCTTAGCACGATGTAATGCACAGACAGCCGAGCTTGCCAAATGCATTTCCACGGCTCTGTGTTACACCGGCCACTGTTGTAGTGACATTTCATATGAGTTATCTGTTGGTAGGTGATACAGGCGCCACCCCGGCCAAGTTGTAATTTCGAGATGTGCGTACAAATATTTCTGCATGCATGTTCGGATCGATTCTCTACAGTTCATGGGAGATGAAAGAGGGTCCTAAAGACGTCGCTGTAGGCTCCAAGCTGACGTGTGAGAGATTGTGGCTTTGAGAGCGAGGCAGTGTGTGATAATGAGAGGGAGGAGCTTTCCCCTGGGCTTGGCCCTCTTCCTGCTCTGAGTTCTGACTTGGCACCGTGGAGCTTCCTGGTTCTGCTCCAGCTCCAGTCCCGGCTCCTGCTGCACCGTGCTCCTGCTTGTGTTTCTCCCAGGCGGAGCTCAGCTTCACAGCTAACGCCAGCAGGTTTTTCCCCAGGAACACAGTAGACACACGGGAGTCTCTGTACCACAGCATGCCCGTTCCCCTCAGGGCCAGTGTGAAGATGTTAATGGTGACCAAACTGAGCCAAGGGTACAGAGCCTCCTTACGGGGTCCCCTCTGCCCTGGCAGGCCTGTGGCCCCTAGCTCCGTGAGGGCCACACATGGCAGCAGTAGCAAGAGGGCGTAGCAGTAGAAGAAGACTAGACCCTCTGCCCAGATCGGCAGCCTCTGCTCCGCAGCTGCTCCAGACCCGCCCTGGGCTTCCCACAGCCCCGCCTGCAGGTCCAGCACATCCAGCAGGTCCACCACGACCCACAGGAGCCGACTCCTCACCTCCTGCTTCCTGCGCTGTGGCGTCATATGGTCAGCTCCCGTTAGAATGAGGAACAGGGAGGGCAGGCAGATGGACAGCAGCAGCGTCAGCGTCTTCCGGGCCAGCGGGTCGGGCGGCCGGCGCTCCTGCCTGTAGTTGTGGCAGACGAAGAAGAGCTTCAGCTGGAGCAGCGACAGGAACAAGAACCAGAGGGCGTTGGCGAACCCGCGGCGGGGCGACTGCGCCTCAGAAACCACCCCGGCAGAGACGAAGCGCAGAGCCAGCAGGAAGCAGACGTCACCCAGCAGCACTGTCACGTACTGCCACACGCTGGGTCCCAAAAGACCGCGGGCTCCCAGCATGCTCTGCTCCAGCAGGTAGAGGTCCACCACTGCCATCGTGCTCACCGTGACCAGGGTTGATACGCACACCTGGGGCGTGGGCACCATGCCTGAGGAACACACACACATGCACACCATTGTTCCAGTGACAAACGTTTGGAATCAGACATGCTTGTTTTTGTCAAAGCAGCTGTATGATACTTTGGTGCTTGTTGCTATGGTTAAAGACACTGGCTGTAGAGGAAGCAGAGAGCGCTCTTCATCTTTGGCCAGAGCTGCACACTCTGGTCGCTCAAGCTGGGAAGCCTATTAAATTGTTTGCCCTTTTTTTTCCTCCGACACTCTTTGAATTAAACATTTTCCATATAAGTAAACATGGCTTCTTTGTGATTCTCAGCTTTCCCACAAGTTTTTCTGTTGCCACTACTATTCTTGTTTCTGTTCTTTTTCCTATACTCAGCTTATTCATTATTAATTAATTGCATTCAGGCGCAGCTAGGTACTCTGTCAAAGCATTTTCTTTGCTTCTATAGTCTGCCATGTTTATTCTTATACAGTGCTGCAGCCTTTAATCATCCCAAATCCCATCTCTTTTTAGATGAATATTGATAACTTACTATTTGTTTAGAGGCGCTCGTCTCGTTGCTGTTGTGTGCTCTGTGCGCGTCGGGGGCCGCTGCATAAACACAATGCTAATGTCGCTGAATGTGATCTTATTTTGTTGCAGCTCATATTGTATATCAGCCACGAATAGCATAAAAAACAGTATCGATCCCAGAATGAGAAATGATCATTGACTTTTTACAGTGGGTTCAAACTGATGCCTCTTTATCGTGTTTAGCCTGAAAAGCCCGGCGCACACTGGCCACTTCACTGTCTGTTTTCTCCTCGCAGCCACCCGGCGGTGTCAACCCCCTCTCAGCCAGATCGATCACATTGTAATATAAAATCATTACCGGTTTCAGATGTGTCCTGACGGCAACAGTTGAGCATGATCGAGCTAGAGATTGTCAGCACGGCTGCTGCCTCTGAGAAGAGTCTGTCAGTGAAAAATGTGTATTGATATCTTTGTGGTGGAAGACACATCGCCTCTCTGACTGTAAGGAGCTCTGCCACCTCCTCTGTCCTGTCTGAATCATTACAGAAGACAGAAGTACTCCCCATTGGGTAAAAGGGGGGGGGGGGGGTTGAGTTGTGTAGGAAAGAAGGACTGTAAGTGAAAGCGTAATGGGCCTTTTGGGAGTCTATATTCCTAAGAAAAAGGCTTCCTGCAAGATAGTGACTGTTTTCTCCTGCCACTAAAGGCAATAATGTTTTTGCCTGTATGGTTTTTTAGCAGCCTTAGCAAAATATCTCAGGAACCAGTGCATAGATTGTAATAAAACTCTCAAAGTAATCGTTGGATGATCATCTACCACTGATTTCTTTTGGACTTAAGCTGATTCAAACTGTCCACTGCAGCTCAGACCTTAGAAACCACAAAACTGTCTAAAATTTGGTGTGCCAGTAGCTGAGAGTCCTTTCCCACACATACTGTGAGCCACAAACTCTAAGTGATATTTTAGCTCAAAAGCGTGGCCATGACTGTATTGGTGTTAACCCTGTTTTGTCTGTTAGCAAAAAATCTCACGAACCATATGACTGATATTAATTAAATTCTCAGAAAATAGACATTGGATGTAAACCTAAAACTGACTGACTTTTGGGGTGTCACAAGTTTAGGTTGGCTGCCGCAGCTTTTTTTAAATTAGCCAACAGAAAATAGGCTTTAACTTGGTCAGTTACACAGATATTGAGCTAGAATTCAGTGTGGTAGTGGCTGAGAGTTGTCCACAACACATTTTCTGAGAGCCAACAGATCTTGCAAGATCTCACAATTAGGGCTGTGCGATAAGTCTGAAAAATGTATCATGATAAAAACATTTAATATCCATCAATATAATTGTTGATTAATGCTGCCAAACTGGTGTTGTGATCTTTCCTCTTTAATCCACAATTTCCTCCCGAGCTGTTGCACTCATTTTCTCCTTTCACTCCATGTTCTTTTTTTATTTTAGAGCAGTTATAAGGCACGGTGGTGAAACATGAAACTGTTGCTGCACGTTACAGGTTCTTGCTAGCTTATCAAAGAGTGAGTGATTTGGTTGATGCCACCGCTTAGCTGGGCCAAGAGAGGTCGAGAAGCTAAAGTAAAGCCTTTCCTTTGCCTACATCCCCCAGAATGCCATGTGGTTCTGGATTAGAGTTCAGTGAAATTGTTAACATTCTACGTATCAATGGACATATTTTCCATTGATATTGATCTTGTGTTTATCTCTATTGTTGCTGTTTTATCGCCCAGCCCTTCACACATTCCTGCGTGAGCTTTTGACCAAAGCAGCTATAACTTGATCCCTTTTGAGCTTACAATGACTTCAGTTTGAAACACTGACATGAAAGACAGCAGGTGATGTGCATTCCTTTAAGGAACGGCAAGGCTTCAAATAAGCGCATATAAAATGGAAACTTAATTGTAGACAGAAGAAGACTTTGCATTGAGATGTGCATTTCATGAGTTGTTATTACCGAATGAATTGAAGGCAATAAAGTTAAGTTTTGAAACTGATGAATGAAAGAAAAAAAAGAACGATCTGAACTGATTAATCTTGCTCGAAGGCATGGTGGGAGGACAGCCGTAGATCATGCCGGGATTGGAAATATTTCATTGTCGACGAAGCCTTTTGTCTCTCAGAAACCTAATTATCATTCCCCGAAACCTGAATGAATTTGAGTGAGCCACAGATCGAGGAAGGAAGGAGGGGATATTGGAATTTAAATGTGTCCTCTGTTTCTTTGGGGAACGAACTCAGCCTGCAGGGGTGAAGAAGTTTGCAAGCACTGCTGCAGCTGCCCCTCTTTTTTTTCTTTTCTCTCTCAGAGGTCGTGGCTGTTGTAGGTTATTCCACCTGCGCCTCGAATCCGCCCTGGAAATCTCCCCGACTGGCCCGTGTTTGTGTTTTGACTCCCTGTCAGCGCCGTGTAATTTATTCTGTTCAGAGTGAGAGACAGGGATGTCAGCCCGATCGTCCACTCGGCTCATCAATAATGACCAAATTTATCATTCCGCTGTCTGCGATGTGACACTGCTGTTGACAAGGTGAGGCAACCTATTTCACAGTAACTATGAGTAATGGTTTATAATAGTGTGCAGGTGAAAGATTTGTGCAAATTCTGTTTAGCTCTAAAATATAAATATATATTCCTCTCAGTTATATCATATCTCTCACCGGGTGCAGTGTTGTCCAAGTAATCATCCAAAAAGCACTTTAATCCACCCCACCCCACCCCCAAACACACCCTGACAGAGATTAAAACCATGCATGGGCTTTACCACTTTGCTTTGTTTTGTTATTGAAATCACCCGCTGCCTCATATGCCAGAGTTTTAAACTAATCTTTTGTTGAGAAATGACAGAGTTGGCATTTTGGTCAAACCTTGAAAGTAACATTGCAGACTATCGTGTTTGATTATCTGGGACGATCTGTTAGCACTGGGGATATGTTATGAAAGACTGTCTGGTACTACCATGCCAAATATTAGCCAAACGTACGTAAACTCTCACTGACCTTTTTGTGTTGGCTAATGTCGATTAGCTGCTGACGCCATCTTGAATTGGGTTGACTCCAAATGTTTATCAGTTCCAATTGTACAAACTTGGGTAATTCAGAATGGAATAAGCTTCCAGTAAATCTTAAACTTTCTACTGACCTGAAGGATTTTACTTATAACATTTAAAAAGTGCTATTGGAAAACCAGCAATGTCTGCACTGAAATATCTTACTTGTAATCCTTGTATTAGTGATTAATGAACAGACGTTTAGGATGTAGAACTGTTTTTGCTGATGTATTTTATGATTGTATATAGAGATTGTAATTAGAATTGATTGCTATGGTCTTTATGACTTTATGCAGTAATTGTGTCTACAAATTTTATGGATTATTGTTCTGTGTCTTGATTTTAGGTTGTATTTTGTTGTTCAGGGACTACAGATGGAAATTAGCGTAAGCTAAATCTGGTGCAAAACATCTTTTAATGTTTTATTTGCACATTGTCCCTGTTTTAAATAAAGGAGTTCTAAAAAAAAAGAAAAAGCTTTTTCATTAAAATTTTGCTAAAAGGCAAATGGGGTTGGCTTTGATAGTTAACGCCATGGTTTTAAGCAAAAACAGTGCACTCAAAGTATGTGCTGTGGACGATAGTCAGCTACTACCACACCAAATTTTACCTATCTGTAAAATTGTCCTGGTTGTAGCCATTTTTTGTTTATTCTAAGTTAATTTTGTGTTCACACGTTAATTTGTCGTTGTCAACCTAATTAATACTTTCTTGAGATATTTTGCTAACAGACTTGATTCCAATAGGTCACAGTAAAGTTTTAAATGCAGATGTTGCACGATCAGGTAGCACTCATGGTTGAAGTTGGGCATCACTAGCCACTAAGACCACAGCAAACTTTTGCCCAATATTTGTAAAACTGGTAGCGTTGGAGCCATTTTTTTTAGGTTTGCTAAGATCGGTTGGCCGTGGTGGCCATCTTGAATTAGGTTGACTTCAAAAGTTAATCAGTTGTAGAAGCCAACCCAGTGCTTACTCTGTTTGATTCAAGTCTGTTCAGTGAGTCGAGGGATATTTCGCCAACAGACAAAGGAAGACTGAGACATGCAAAAACCTAATCGCTCCACTTTTGCCTTTGACGGTGGGTAATTCAGTTGTGGAGCCAAGACGAATGCACCTGAAGTTCATTACCATAAACACCCATCCTGGAGTTCCAAATAGCACCTCAGACAAAAATTCTTCATGACCACAGGTGGGGTGGCGGAGAGTCGCATCATCTGAGCCATTATGTGCCAAACCAATTATTTAATAGAGTCCCTGATTATGCAGAGCCAGATCCACATCTGTTGCGGTTCTGTTTTTGTGCGCCCCATATCTTTCCTCATTAACTGTCCTGCATCCTTTACTTTAACAACACCTAATAAAGCACCTCTCTGCAACACCTGTTTCATAACTGCCCCATTAGCTGCAGGTAGTACGGATTTATCCGTGCATTGGATGGTAGTAATAAAAAGGAAAAACTGAAGCTTTTAGTTACCCAAACCATTCGTGTTGCGCTCCGGCTCGATCGTCCTGCTGCTCTGATTTACAGCAGAGGAAAAAAAAAAAGAAAAGAAGTGGAAGAGCCGTCGGTGACCAATAAAGTCCCTGTTAATGTCGATGGAAAGCCGTGATAAAAGTGTCGCTGTCCGGGTGTTCGGACACACTCAGGATCCAGAAGAACAAGTCATCCCTTCTGCTTCAAAAATTTTAAAAAGGAGTCTTGTGTAAAAATAAAAGATTTCTTCCTCCACGTAGATCTAGTCTGGCAGATGTCCCTGACTCTTCCTTTTACTTCTTTTTTTTTTTTTTTTTTGAATCTCTGTGCTGTTTTTTTTTAGAAGCTCCGGATCTGGATCTGTCGCCTCCCGCAGTGTCGGGTTCTGTTGTTAATCTTTTGACACAGCGGCAGCAGGGGAAGAAGGAAGGAATGAGGAAGAGAGCGGTCCCCCGGCTGTGCACAGCAGCCGTGGACGCACTCAGAAGCGGAGCATCGTTTTCGGAGCAGAAACCGCAGAGAGCAGCCCCGCGAAGGGGGCTCCGAGACCGGAGGAGGAGGGGAAGAAAAGGAGAGGGCGAGAGATCCGACGAGCAGCGCAAACTCCCTCACGCTTCCCGAGTTTTGGTGTTCATTTGTAAGCAGGCTACGTGCTGGATGCTCAGACCTCCCACCCAATTCAGTTCCTCCTCCTGTTCCCTCCTCCGGCAGCAGCCTGTGTGGATGCCGGAGCTTTCTCTTACAGTATTTATTCTAACGTGATGGTGACACTCGGCTGCTTTGTGTCGGAGCAGCACACACCTTATTTACTCCCTCCCTACTGGAGAAGTGGAGCAGAGGAAGTGGAGCGAAAGATGTTTGTTGCCTTAAGACACATTTAGAGCTCAGAAGGCAGATGTTACAACTTTAATTAGCCCTTCTTTCTGTCTGCTTGCTGCTTTAGTCACACAAGGAAATTATTCTTCTGTTGTAGATTAACTTAAAGTATGCACAGATGGGTGGGGGCGTTTTACTGAGTTTTTTTTTTGTAGAAACAGATTTTGAAAGGCTCACTCCTTTTTACTAAAAGGCAAGATGATGTCTTTGGTCATATCTGTGTGTCTTTTAGCAAAATATCTCATGAACCATTGGAAAAATGTTATTGAAACTTCTGGCGAATGATCCTTAGATGTGCATACTCAACCCTTAAAGTCAACCACATTCAAAATGGCCACCGCAGCAACCTAAAATTTAGCGTGGTAGTAGCTGAGACTAATCCCCAACACATTATTAGTGCCGACAGACTGCCCAAGGATTTTTGCACAATATATATTATTTAAAGTAATTTCTCTGTCTGTTAGTAAGATATTTCATGAATTACTGGACAGATATTAGTGAAACTTTCAGATAATAATCATTGGATATACGTCTTGAACTGAATAATTTTTGGAGCCAGGTCAAATTAAGATGGCAGCCAAAAATATATATAACTTATTCCTATAAGTCTGACAGATGTTGAGCTAATATTTTTCATAATAGTAGCTGAGAGTGATCCTCAACACATAGTTTGAGTGAGAAATCACAGTATTGCATGTTCATTGCGTTATTCTCTAGGTTTGATCAAAACGACTCGCATTTCTTGGCATAAGAGGAATTTTAGTCCGAAACTGGCATAAAAGGCGGCGGGCAATATGTTTTCCTTCAAGGAATGCTCAGACTTTCATTTTTGTTCAGGAATTCAATTTTAGTTTCTTTGTTGACCACATATGAATTCTTTTTTTAAAATTTCACTTCAAATTTCACACTGTTGCTGTGCCTTCAAGGTCCAAAATTTTTTTTTTTTTTTTTTAAGCCAAGGCTGAAGTCCTCAGCTCTGTTCTGTTCTGTGGCTCCTGGGTCTCGTTGTGGAGTGAGAGGTTTAATCAGACTGCTGAGAAATGCGATGGAGAGTCATCTTTCTTGTCAGATCCAGCTCTGCGCTCCGCTGGCTTCTAAGAGAGGAGAGATTTTCCATTTTCCTCACTTCAGTGTTTTATTTTTTCTATTCTGTGTGTGTGTGTGTGTGTGTGTGTGTGTGTGTGTGTGTGTGTGTGTGTGTGTGTGTGTGTGTGTGTG